CAGGAACTCAATGGACACCTCGAAGTCCTTCCCGTTCGCTGTCGCCCAGCCGCCGCATGTCACCGCACCCCCGGCAGTACTCCGGCCCAACGCGGGGCCGGTCTCCTTGTCCGTATCCGGGAAACTAAGGGCAGCAACCGGTGGAGGTGCGGTTGCTGTGCGATAAACTACCTAAGATCCCCCGACGACGACGACGCCGCGACGGAGCTTTCCGAACACAATGCCAACCAGGCAAAGCCCTGACGGTGAAAGCTCACTTACCGGAGGTGGCCTGACGACGCAACATGGAAGCAGCGGATCAAGCCGACGCAGCCGTGACCCGACGCCACGCCCTAACTGTAATGCGAGACGGCGAACTAGCGACATCGACGTTCTTATTGACGGCCACAGTGTGACCGCTCTCGTCGATACTGGAGCCGACTATTCTGTCATCAGTGGGTCGTTCGCCGCGAAGTTAAAGAAAGTTAGGACAGCTTGGAAAGACCCTGAATTCCGCACAGCCGGAGGTCATCTTGTAACGCCTGCAGGAATCTGCACAGCGAGAGTCACCATTAACGGCCGTATTTATCCTACCGACTTCGTAGTCCTACAGCGTTGCTCGAGACATGTCATCCTTGGCATGGACTTCTTATGCCTCCATGGTGCTGTCATCAACCTAAAAACAAAGTCGATAACGTTATCCACAGAAGAAGCACTACCACCGCGCACGCCGTCAGGACACCATGCCTTGAATGTGCTGGAAGAACAAGTCACCATTCCGCCTCGCTCAAGCGTCATTATTTCCGTCGGCGCTCCTAAATCACCTGACTTGGAAGGCGTCGTAGAAGGCAGTCAGCATCTGTTGGTCACCCGAAATATTTGCGTCGCAAGAGGAATTGCAGAGCTGCGGGGAGGCAAAGCAACGGTTATGCTCACGAATTTCAGCAATGAGTACAAAAATGTGAACAAAGGAACAACGGTTGCATACATCGAAGAAATTGTCGAAGCCACCAGTGCTTTCGCCCTCGCCGATTCTGTGGAACCTGCTCAGAGGAACCAAGCCCCTCCCATAGCTTTCGACGTCAATCCAAGACTACCGAACGATAAGCAAGAACAGCTCAAGGCCCTGCTTCTGCTATACGAAGATTGCTTTTCGTCGTCATCGAAAATTCAGCAGACCCCAATCACGAAACATCGCATCATAACCGAAGAAAATGCCAGACCACTCCGTCAGAGTCCGTACAGGGTTTTGAAGCGAGAACGTGAGGCCATGAAGAGACAAGTTGATGAAATGCTGCGGGATGACATTATCCAGCCGTCCAAGAGTCCATGGGCATCCCCCGTGGTGTTAGTGAAGAAAAAGGATTGGACCCTACGTTTCCGCGTTGATTATCGCCGCCTGAACAAAATCACAAGAAAGGACGTGTATCCTCTCCCACGAATAGACGACGCACTTGATCGGCTCCATAACGCCAAGTACTTTTCGTCAATGGACCTCAAGACTGGCTATTGGCAAATCGAAGTCGACGAAAGAGACCGAGAGAAGACGGCGTTTATAACACCTGACGGCCTCTTCGAGTTTAAGGTGATGCCCTTCGGCCTTTGCTCAGCGCCTGCACCTTTTCAACGCGTTATGGATACAGTACTGGCGGGATTGAAATGGAAAACTTGCCTTGTGTACTTGGACGACGTCGTCGTGTTTTCTTCGAGTTTCTACGAGCATCTTCGGCGCCTTGAAGCTGTACTTCAAGCCATCAAGACTTCCGGACTCACACTGAAGCCAGAAAAGTGCAGATTTGCGTATGAGGAGCTCTTGTTTCTGGGGCACGTTATCAGCAAGTCTGGAGTTCGTCCCGATCCACGGAAAACAGCCGCCATCGCCGACTTCCCGCCGCCCACTGACAAGAAAGCCGTGCGCCGATTTCTGGGCCCGTGCGCCTATTATAGGCGGTCCGTGGAAAACTTCGCCCGCATCGCCAATCCTCTCACTAACCTTACCAAGGCCGACGTGGAGTTCAAGTGGGAAACGCTACAGGAACACGCTTTCCAGGAGCTTAAACATCGCCTCCAGACGCCTCCGTTACTTGCCCATTCGGACGAATTCGTCGAGACAGAAGTACATACTGACGCAAGCAGCGTAGGTCTTTGCGCCGTTTTTGTGCAGAGGGCTGACGGACTTGAAAGGGTTATTAGTTACGCCAGCCGATCGCTATCCAAAGCAGAAGCAAATTATTCCACAACAGAAAAGGAGTGCCTCGCCATCATCTCGGCTACGTCGAAATTTCGCCCCTACCTCTACGGCAGGCCCTTCAAAGTTGTGAGCGACCACCACGCCTTGTGTTGGCTAGCCACCTTGAAGGACCCTTCAGGTCGCCTCGCACGATGGAGCCTGAGACTTCAAGAGTATGACATTACTGTCATTTACAAGTCCGGCAAAAAACACTCTGACGCCGACTGTCTCTCTCGTGCGCCTGTCGACCAACCGCTACCCGACGACCCAGATGACGAGTACTTCTTGGGAACGATAACTACCGACGACTTCGCTGAACGACAGCGGGCCGACCCGGAAATTGAGGCCCTAATAGAATACCTCGAAGGCAGGACCGCCGAAGTCCCAAGGTATTCAAGCGCGCACTTGCGTCGTTCTTTCTACGAAACGGTCTTCTACGAAAGAAAAACCTTTCACCGCTTCGAGCTAAGTACCTCCTTGTGGTGCCTTCAGCTTTGCGACCAGAACTACTGCAGGCCCTGCACGACGATCCGACGGCAGGGCACCTCGGTGTTTCTCGCATGCTCGCGAGGATACAAGAAAGGTACTACTGGCCACGTCTTACCACCGACGTCACTCGTTAAGTGAGGACATGCCGGGACTGTCAGCGACGCAAGACACTGCCGACAAGGCTAGCGGGACTTCTGCAGCCAATTGATCCACCTTGCCGACCTTTCCAGCAGATTTGTATGGACCTACTGGGGCCGTTCCCGACGTCGGCTTTCGGAAACAAGTGGATCGTGGTAGCTACCGACTACCTCACCCGCTACGCCGAGACAAAAGCCCTGCCAAAAGGCAGTGCATCCGAGGTAGCTAAGTTCTTCGTCGAAAATATCGTCCTACGTCACGGCGCCCCGGAGGTCCTTATCACCAACAGAGGAACGGCATTCACTGCCGACCTAACTCAAGCGATCTTGGCATACAGCCAAACAAACCACCGCCGGACGACAGCGTACCACCCACAGACCAACGGCCTCACCGAGCGGCTTAATAAGACGATCGCCGACATGCTGTCAATGTACGTCGATGTCGAACACAAGACGTGGGACGCCATTCCTCCATATGTGACCTTCGCATACAACACGGCGGTGCAGGAGACGACGCAGATATCTCCATACAAACTGGTCTACGGAAGGAACCCGGCAACGACGCTCGATGCCATGTGACCCAACGTTACCGACGAAGAAAACCTCGATGTGAGCGAGTACCTTCAACGCGCCGAAGAAGCCCGACAAGTTGCGCGTCTCCGTAACAAGAATCAACAGACGACCGACAGCCACCGTTACAACCTTCGACGACGCTTAGTGGAATACCAGCCCGGTGAACGTGTTTGGGTGTGGACGCCGATACGCCGACGTGGACTAAGTGAAAAGCTTCTGCGACGGTACTTCGGACCGTACAGGGTAATTCGACGTCTCGGCCCACTTGATTACGAGGTTGTCCCCGACGGCATCACGAACTCTCAACGACGCCGATCGCGACCTGAAGTCGTACATGTCGCGCGCCTCAAGCCGTTTCATGTGCGTTAACAAACTGAAACAGTGCTTTTTATTATTATTGTATCGTAATTTGTTCATTGTATTTTCTTGCATTATTGTTGTACCTTCATCTTTAGTTAAAGCATTGGGACGATCCCTTTGTTCAAAGGGGGGCAATCCCACGCTCCATTTCTCAAGTTTTGTTATCGCCCCAAAACACTACAAAATTCTCAGCACAAAACGCGCGTGCAGTTTTTGAGAAGCTTCCGCACTTTAGTAGATGATTTCGATAAGATCACGCCCACTCTGCGAACTGCACAGATTATTCTGGAACCTGTGCCACCGCCAGCGATAACGCTAAGACATTCGATGGCAAGAGTATAAATGCCGACGCGCTTCGCCGCTTGTCAGTTGTTGATCGAAGGCCGACGCTCCGTTCGCCGCTATCAGTCCGAGACTGCTATCTGTGCGAGACTGCTGCTGTAATTGGACTTTCCGTTTACCGGGCACAGGTTCGCCCAAATAAACAGTTAAATCCCAACACGAAGTCTCCTATCTTTGGCCACGTCACGACCCCGTGACAATATTGATACGGTTTCACTATGCGCCATACCTACGACCCATTCAGCATGGTTTCCTGTTTTTCTGCAATAGATTTTGCGAACGCAAGGCAGCTCTCACCCTGTTTGGAAGCTGCGACCTTGACTCGTCCATCGTATATTATTGAATGCTGCCGAAGCTCTCGCAGGTGCTTATTCAATACTGAATTCTCGGTTTTTAGTTCTTTGTCGGCCGTAACCAGAAGACTATTTTGAGCTCGAACTTTTCACGTACCGCGCTAGGCATATTGACACGCCTTATAAGTGCTTCATTTCACGCTTAAATTGAACAATCTTAAGCTATGATTAACGCTGCATTGAGCACTTTTTCCCAAGAACAGAAGTAGCCTCGTTAGACTAACTCTAGAACGAAGCTTCAAGCTGATGAATTTTTTTGGCAAGCTGAGTGCAAGAAGGCATGGCCTAAAGTACAATAAATAACTTTACGACAACTTGCAGCCGTGGCGGTTGTGAAAAAAAACGGTAAATTAATGAATATTTACAAACTCAAGCAACAATAACCTAATCATCTTAATGTTTTCGGTTGTCAGAATTTTCTTCATTTTGCTTACTTTACCCTTCTGTGGAACTCGCTCATATCAATTTGAGTTGCAAGTACAGACCAACTGGTAAAGAGTTTTGTTTCACAACCGGAATGTCGTAATCTCTGCGCAGGGGCAACGTGCTGCAGATCACGGGAGGTCTGCATGAACCAGGGGACCTGCGCTTGCCATTGGCCATTACTCTTCTCATAGCTTGGGTACTCTGCTACTTCTGCATCTGGAAGGGCGTCAAGTGGACTGGCAAGGTGGTCTACTTCACCGCCTTATTCCCCTACGTTCTTCTCTTCATCTTGCTGGTGCGTGGCCTCACGTTACCGGGCGCCTTCGAAGGCATCAAGTTCTACGTCCTCCCAGACATGAACAGGCTGTCCGACTCGATGGTGCGTTATGAATTTTGGCAGCCACTATGGCTTCTTGTGCAACGCTTCCCGGTCACCTACTTTCGTATATGAAGAGACAAAACAAAGTGGATATAACTATGGCTCATCATAAATTTCTTTCAACACACTTCAGCATGAAAGGGCTGTTGCAAGAGTGGGCTAGCACAACATATAAAATAGCAGCACAGTAGTGGGGAAGCACAATGCACTAAACAACATAACAAAATTCTCTGAACGTCATTCACTAGTAATATAAAATAAAAATTCATCAAGTGATGAAGATCAAATGTACGCAGGCAGAGCATTCCATAATTCTACAGAATGAACAAAAAATAATATACGCAGGCAGAGTATTCCTTAATTCCATAGAATGAACAAAAAAACAATAATTGAACACCCACGAACAATGAGAAAAAGTAGGCATGTATAACTCAGGGTAATATCGAATGGTTGTTGGTCTAGCGGGTGCAATGTACTTGGTGAGGGGGGGGGGTAATCGTGAGAGATACTTAAATTATAAAAAAAATTCAAGCATTCAGCTTGACGACGAGAAGAAAGACTGGTAAGCTTAAGAATTGGAAGAATTGGTGTACGGCTTTCTTCTGAACACATTCTACTTTGGTGATGTGAGAAATTTTGTGTGGGTTCCATACTAAACACCCATTTTTTAATATTGGACGATCGAAAGTTTTGTAAGTAAGGACTCGAATACCGAGAAGTGCTGAACATAATGTGCGTTGCAGGTAGCCTAACTTTCTAAGTGCACGGTTACACGTGAATTCAATGGAATGAGACCAAGATAAACCCTGAGTGAAAATGAGACCTAGATATTTATATTGCGAAACGTTTCCAAGAGGGCAACTATTTAAGAAATAGGTAAATGGAGAGGGTAAATGGAGAGGGAAAGAAAATTTAGTAAGTGAAATGGATACAGTTTTTCGAAAGTTTATTTGCATTTGCCAAGTGTCACACCCTGACTAAAAAGATGCAAAGGAACCCTTAAAAATGATCTTATCATGAAAAGTTTTAATCATATGATAGAAAATATAGTCATCTGCATACATGCAGATTTGAACAGGAATATTATTTGGCAGATCATGAATGAAACTCAGAAACAAGAGTGGGTCTAATATTTAGCCTTGTGGTACGCCAGACGTTACAGTGCAAGCAGAAGAGTAAGATGACCTGAAGAGTACATAGCAAGATCTCTTTGCTAGGAAAGAAGAGATTCACTTAACTAAGGCTTTGTTTTTAGGACTAAGAGTCAGCTTATCTAACAGTTTATAATGTGACACAGTGCCGAAACCTTTAGAAAAATCTATGATTGTTGCGTCAACTTGATCGCCTGCATCAAGAACCTAGAGAAATGTCAATGGAAAATTCACTAAGCTGGGTTATGGTACTAAACCCGCGTCGAAAACAACGCTGGGCATAAGATAATACATTATTACACTCTAAGAATTCAGTGATATGTCTGAAAATTATGTGCTCAAGTACTTCAAAAGAATAGCTTGTGATAGATATGGGTGTGTAGTTCAATAAGAACTGTTCGTTTCCACATTTGAATAATGGAAGAATTTCACCAGTTTTCCAAGCTACAGGGACAACAGACGTCGAGAAAGATTTCTGGAAGATAATGGTTTGGTATAGACTAGTCCATAAGGAGCATGTATTAAGGAATTTATTGTCAATATTTTCAGGACTACTGTTTTTGGTCAACTTTTAAAAGAATGTGATAGCTTACCATAAGCTTTATCTTTCAACCATTTTTAGCGTGGTAACGTATTACTTGAGAGTCGGCAGAAAAAAATACTCAATAACGTGAGGCTGTGTTACAGAGTCAGTCCATATGTTTCGGGACGACTTACTTTTTAGAAAGAAAAAGTGACAATCGCGCGTTTGTAGCACGGGGCCGCCGACTTGCTGAATTTGGCCGAACTGATTCACAATGTACGACTTACGCAAGACGTGGTGATGAATCGTGCTTCGCAGGGGCTGTGGTATATAGTGGGGATGTTAGATTCGCAATGCTGTGCTCAGAGAAAAAGAAGCAAAGACAAGCCGGAAGAGTGAAGTAAGGCAGCTTTGCCCTATCGGGGTCAAGTCCGAAAGTAGCCTTCTTTTGTTTCTATTCGGTTTTATGGTTCTTTACTTTGTGTACTCTAGTTTGTTTCTGTTTTTGCCCTTAATTGCTTCAAATATATAGTACTACATTTCCTTCAGTTTTTTATATTTTTATTGATCACCAGTTTTATTCTTTCAATCTATATACGTTGTTCCGGTTGTCGTGCTTCCCTAGGCCCTAGTAGTAATCTCCCCGTTTGTTATCAACACTTGACGAATGAGAAGAATTATAAGACTTCTCTTTGAACCAAGCGTGACCTAAATTTATTTATTTATTTATTCATGGTACTCTACAAGTCCCGAGAAGTATTGAACAGGAAGTGTTACAGAGAGATCACACCAAATGAACCATAAAAGGAAACTACGTCGAATACAAAACGAAACGAATTGTGCATTGGAAGGGAAAAGGACATTGGCAATAATACAATGCAGTAAAATACAAAGTGAAGAAAACAAATATTATAAAACATTCAAAAGGGCACATAAAGTTACAAATGCTCACGAAATTTTACAGAGTCTCTGAACGAAACAATTTCAGCAGAAAGACTATTCCAAAGTGCGAAGACGTGCGGCAAAGCATAATTATTGAATGACTTTGTGTGACCTATAATGCGCCTGAAACCAAGATAATTATGAAGATAGCATAATGTAGGCGAGGGAAATTCATTCAAAACACGACTGGTCGACGAGTTGTAGTTGTAATAATGGAAGAGGCACAGGAAAATGTCAGAGCAGCGGGAACCAAGTTCGGAAGGTTAACACTGCATTTGATTTGGGCGATGTTGAAACAGTGATTGTACTAGAAGTTTTTGAGCGGGCTTCACGATTTTGGATAACTTCTACTTTAGCTTTCAAGTATTGTTGATGAGGAGACCAGAACAATGAAGCCTATTCCAATCGAGGTTCAACAAAAGTTGCAAGATGGGGAATGATGCAGATACTGGTGCGAAAATCTCACAGTTCTGTTAGCTTTCGCGCATACTTGTTGGATGTGACTACACCAGGTAATATTAGAAGAAAGAAGAACGCCAACATACTTGTATGTAGATGGACAGGAAATTTCAGTGAAACAGAATAATAGAAAGGGAAAAACAGATTACTTACTGGTGAAAAAACGTATGCAGTATTCACATGTGTTAATTTGCCAGCGGTCACACTATTGAGACCGCTGGCGCTATTTGAGAGTAGGTCGGCAGGGATCCCTTGGGATACCGCAGCCTCGACAGCGCATCGGATGAGCCGGTGTTGGTCTTGGTTCCAACTATATATATATATATATATATATATATATATATATATATATATATATAGGTATGGGATATGGCAAAACGGGAGCGTTGTCAACAAGGATAAATATATTTATTTCCCAACAGTTTCGGGAGGGCTCCTCCCTTCATCAGGGAATGAGTTATACTGACATGAGCTTCCAAACTTCGCTGCTGCCACTTCCCTCTCCCCTTGAAAGATCCCCTGCCGCGTCCCTTGTTTGGAAGTTTGGAAGCTCATGTCAGTATAACTCATCCCCTGATGAAGGGAGGACCCCTCCCGAAACTGTTGGGAAATAAATATATTTATCCTTGTTGACAACGCTCCCGTTGTGCCATATCCCATACCTTCACGAAGACTAACTGGCCCAATGAATTATTACTCCCACTATATATATATATATATATATATATATATATATATATATATATATATATGTGTGTGTGTGTGTGTGTGTGTGTGTGTGTGTGTGTATTGGGGGGGGAGATATCACTACCACTACCACTGATTTTTATACTTACCTGGTGTCGGGGCCACCGTGATCAACTACCACTGATTATTTAAAATGGGCTGCTGTAGCAAACATACTTGGTCTTCATCAGAGTTAGTGGTCCTATACATTATTCAGGCATTCAGGAAAAGGTGAATCGAAGAAGAAAAGTTAAAAGTTACAAGGAAAATCATCAATATAAAGCAGAATAAAACAAGAGACTAATGAACTACACTGGGGCCCACCTGACGAGACAAATGCAGTAGATGAGCTGAAGTTCATGAAGTGTAAAATATTTATTTTCGTTTTACTGACTGCGAGACAGTGAGATCTTAAGCAGTCCTTTTATTTAGACCAGAATTCAGGAGAGATTCAGGTGACCATCACGTCTTTGCGCAAGCATATAAGCTTTTCTTTTTTTTTTTCTGAGAGATCTAAGCGATGTATTGAGCCACAGTTTCTATTTATCGTTAGCAATAATAATGCGTGGAACACACTTACCTATGACGATCACCACAATATTTCTAAGCAAATCCAGTTTTCTTAGGTAGACCTTCTGGTGCACGAGGGAGGAAATTCTTTGAGTAGAAAGACATCAAGTTCAGCGTTCATTTATTGATAATGCGTTTTCTTTTGTGCCCTGATTACCTTACGCTTGACACCCGAAAAGGACAGTGGTATAATAATTGAAAACTATTGATGGTGGTTATCTATAAAGCCGTCTAATTGTAAATTGTTATCTATGGTATATGGCTCTGTTGTCAGAATGGGATAAAATTATTGTTGCGTAAAAATGACACGAGGCGTGTCTATTTAGAATATATATTGACACTGATGCGTATAGCATCGACGAAGATGGAGGACAGAACGCATAACTAACAGACCACGTCCGCGTTGTCGTCTTCTTACTGCTGATATGTCAGCGACGTAGCATTACCCCCGGCGGTAACGCGTCGTCTCGGTGAACAATAATTACGGTTTTCAGAAAGCAGGTGGTAAGGTTTCAGCCTGCTGTCGTGCACAACATTTCTGGGTGTGGTTGCAGGCAGGCTTGTAGTCTCAGATGCAGTAATGATACTATCGGTGGCATCCGTTAGCTGTTGGATGATACGGTAAGGAC